AATACTCATCATCATCATCATCATCATCATCATCATCATCATCATCATCATCATCATCATCATCATCATCATCATAATCGTCATCAGCAGCATCATCAGCATCATCATCATCAGCATCATCATCATCATCATCATCAGCAGCAGCAGCATCAACATCATCATTATCAGCATCGTCATCATCATCATCATAATCACCATCACCATCACCATCACCATCACCATCATCATCATCATCATCAGCAGCATCATCATCAGCATCATCATCAGCATCAGCATCGTCATAATCAGCATCAGCATCATCAGTATCATCATCATCAGCATCATCATCATCATCATCACCATCATCATCATCACCAGCAGCATCATCATCATCATCATTACCACCGACATCATCATCATCATCATCATCATCATCAGCATCACCATCAGCATCATCATCATCGTCATCATCATCAGCATCATCATCATCATAATCAGCATCAGCATCAGCATCATGATCATAATCAGCATCATCATCAGCATCATCATCATCATTCCCCCTCCTCCTCCCCCCCCTCCCCCTCCTCCTCCTCATCCTCCTCCTCCCCGTCCCCCTCCTCCTCCCCCTCCCCTTCTCCCTCCTCCTCCACCTCCTCCTCCTCCTCCTCCTCACTCCTAACTCCCCCACCTCCTGCTCCTCCTCCTCCTCCTCCTCCTCCTCCTCCTCCTCACCACCACACCAACACCACCACCACAACCACCACCCACCAGCAGTGATCATCAGAATATCATCATCATGTCAGCAGCATCAGCAGCAGTCATCATCTCATCAGTCATCCTCATACATCATCAGCATCAGTCATCATGCATCATCATCAGCATCATCTCATCATCATCATCATCATCATTCCCTCCTCTCCTCCCCTCCCCCCTTCCCCTCCTCATCCTACTCCGCCTCCTACTCTCCTCCTCATCCCCTCTCCTCCATCCTCCTCCTCCTCCTCCTCCTCCTCCTCAGGTCCTCCCCTCCTCCTCCTTCTCCTCTCCTCTCCCCTCCTCTCAGCCTGCTCATCTCCTTCCCTCCTATCTCCGCATCCTCCTCCTCGTCCTAATCTCCTCCTCCTCCTCCTACTCCTCCCCTCCCCCTCCCCCTCCGTCCTCCCCCCTCGCCGACTCTCCTCCCTCCTCCCGCGCCTCCTCTCATCCTCCTCTTCCTCCTCCTCCTCCTCCTCTCCTCTCCTGTTTTCTCCTCATCCTCCTCTCCGCCTCTTCTCTCCCTCCGCCTCCTCTCCGCCCTCCGCCTCAAGCCTCCTCCTCACTCTCCTACTCCACCCCTCACTCACCCTCCTACTCCTCTCCTTACTCCTCCTCCTCCTCTCCTCTCCTCCTCCTCCTCCTCCTCCTCCGCCTCCTCCTCACTCCTCACTCCTCACTCCTCACTCCTTACTCCTCACTCCTCACTCCCCCTCCTCCTCCTCCTCCTCCTCATCCTCCTCCTCCCGTTTCCCCGGCAGGGGGCGGTCTCCTCCTCCTCCTCCTCCTCCGCCTCCTCCTCACTCCTCACTCCTCACTCCTCACTCCTTACTCCTCACTCCTCACTCCCCCTCCTCCTCCTCCTCCTCCTCATCCTCCTCCTCCCGTTTCCCCGGCAGGGGGCGGTCTCCAACCGGAGTCGGCTGCCTCCTGAGCTCTTGCGCCGGCCCGCGCGCCTCGTCGCACCCTCGGCTCCCGCGCGGCTCGCCGCCCGCGGGTGCGGCCCAGATTCCGTGGCGGGCCCTCTCGGCGTGCGCCTCCGCCGCCTCGGCGGTCTGCAGCGCCGCGAGCTCCAACTCGCCACGGCCGACGGAAAGCCCGGGAGTCGCCAGCGAGGTCGGACCACTAAAGTTGTGGATGCCATGGCAGTGGACACCCGAACAGTCCTATCGTTGAATTCAGAGTGTGTTCAAAATGTTTGAAAACATAGTCTAAGTTTAAACATGTGGTTTTTTATGTTGAACACATGCTTTGGACATCTGGGAATTATTTGGCAACACGCTTGCTCTCCATGGATCGTCCTCCACAACACGAGAGGATAAGGAGGGAGCAAAAGAAGGGCTCGCCGGGCGCGTCCGCGGCACCTCTGACGCCCTGCCCCGCCCACTCATCCCTTGCCAGTGCGGCCGAGCGGGGTGTCCCACAAGAACATCGCGCTTGAATGGCAGCTGCAGGGGTTGAGCCACTGTTTTCCGGGGAATCGGCTAGAGGAGGTGATCCCTGGTTCTTTCCCTCCCCTCTCGCTCTGCGCTTGTGTTCTCACCTGCCAATCATCCGCTCTTCCCGTAATCACGTGTGCTCGAAAAGCACATGGCAAATGCTTGCTTGCGACCGTGTCGCGCACGATAGACGCAAACACTACCACCGATACTACTCCGCATCACAGTGGTGGCCAAGAGCGAGCGTTCCATGGTAACCACTCTGCGCGCGGCCGCCAGACCGCTCACCTTATCCACCAGGACGCTGCCCGCGACGACGCCTGAATCGAAGCCCAGTGACTTCCTTCCACATACCACGCTGCTCGACGCTGGCTGCGCCGCCAATGATTCCGACTACTCGTACGTCTTCGAGGGTGGCTTCTCCGCCAGCTGCGAAACTGCTCCTGCTCCTTCGAGGAGGGCTGCGCCGCCGACACCTATCACCACAACTATTCCGCTTCAGTCAAGGCTAGGCTGGCTGCGCCGCCGACATCAACTGCAACTACTTCGACATTCCCACGCTTGGCCGCGCAAGCTGAAGCGGTCAATACAAACAGGAGGTCCAGCTGTAAGAGCTCAACGAGAATCTGGAAGCCTCGCACCGCCCGGCATCAAAGCTATTGATCGAGCCATAGGGGACGGCTCGGTCAGCAGCGCTCAACTGTGGAGGAGCGCGAACTACATCCGCGGGGAAATGACGATCTAGAGGACCACGCAGCGGAAAGCTGACAGAAGTACGCGAGGGATCGACAAAGTGTTGATTCATCCAGAGCTGTCGCTCGGGCAGCAGACGCCAGTGCAAACATGCGAGACACACTATATACTTTCTTCGAAACAACTAAACACCATCACAGGCGAGGCGAGAGCGTGACAGAATGTCTCGTCAGACTCGATCAGGGGCTACGGCAGCTCCGGGAAAACGAAGTGGGCCTGAACGCACTCGACGACGTCACGGGCTGGTCATTACCGCGCAAGGCCAGGCTCGCAGCAGAGCGACGTGTGCGCATCATCGGCGACCTGCCCGACCAGCGCCAAAGCTTCGCCCACATCGGAGGCATGATGGCGCGCATGTGTCACGTCCTGCACGCGCAGGGGCGGGCGCGCCAGCCATCGCCGCAAGAGCGGGAACCATCTCGTACATACCTCAACCTCGCCCGGCTCAGGTAGATCGGCACCACGCGGAGGAGGCTCCACGAACGCGGAGGTCAGATACCGAAGAGGATGAGGACGGTAACAGCAATCGCCAGGCCGACGCCGACGCAGACTCGGAAGTGCGGGAGCTCGTCAGACGTGAGCTCGAAGCGATCAGCACGGAGCTCGAGGACTCCGACGTGGACGCCGCAGAGGTGTTCCAACAACGACGACACGTCCAGAGTCGAGGCCGCGGCGGCCGAGCTCACGGCCATCCCGGAGCCCACGGCCACCATCAGAGCTGGCCGCGGCGCCATCAAGGGCAAGGGCAAGCGAGGCGGCGCCCGAAGGGGAAAGGGGCACACAAAAGGGCAAACTGCAGGGACGCATCGACCACCGGACGAAGCGATCAACCTGCTGGGGCGACCAGGGCGCTGCGGTTCGCGCCTGAGCCAACGCGCAGGCTGGGCATGGCAGGGCAGTCCGGATCATCGAGCTGGGCGACGGCTACGAGGTGGAGCCGCTTCCTCAGGGACCCGTCACCCAAATGTGAACAAACAGATACCAAGATTTCGCGACCCTCCAGGCCTCTCCAAGGGTGCGTTTCGACCTGAAGTTCGAGGAAAATCCTAGCCGTGGCGACTAGGGCTCTCCAGGACGAGCAGCGGTACCCGTCGGTCAGAAGAAGTGGGTAGGAACTTGAAGTGGGAGGGCGTTTGAAGAAGATTGGGTCTGCGCCCACCCCCTGAAGAGGAGGGAAGAGGGAAACCCGCTAAGTAGACTCTTGACGCAGGAAGGCGCTGGAAGTAGATTGGGATCTGGGGATCCAAAAGTACCTAGTTTCAACGACCGACGTGCTATTGCCTTTTCTTCCTCTGAACCCCACTGGAAAGGCCCACGCGCAGCATCGACGTGGCAGAGCAGTCCAGAAAACCGAGCTGGGCGACGACCACGAGGTGAAGTCGCACCCTGAAGGACGCGACGAAGCCAACGGGCAAGGCCAGCGCACAGTCTGGACGAGGCAGGGCAGTCCAAAAAACCGAGCTGGGCGACGACTACGAGGCGGAGTCGCACCCTCAAGGGCGCGCTGGAGCCAGCGTGCCAGGCCCACGCGCAGCATAGACGTGGCAGAACAGTCCAGAAAACCGAGCAGGGCGACGGCTACGAGGTGCAGTCGCACCGTACAGGACGCGCCGAAGCCAACGGGCAAGGCCAGCGCGCAATCTGGACGAGGCAGGGCAGTCCAGAAAACCGAACTGGGCGACGACTACGAGGCGGAGCCGCATCCTCACGGGATCCGCCACCCCTACACCCCAAGGAGAGACAGAAGAGCCTTGCGTCGTCGGCTATATGCAAGAGTGGCCCTTGGCAAGAAGGACCCTCGATGCGCGGCTGTAGGGGGGGCCGCGTTGGGGCGCCGCGTTGGGGCAAACTCAAGCATGCAGGCCACTGCTGGCGGGACACCTGTAGGCCCGCACCAGAAGATCAATATGGCGCGGGGTCACTCGTCACTCTTACGCCTATCCGATGCCGAAGCGCGGAACGCCCGACCTCCCGACCATCAACGGCACGGGCCGGCACGGGAGCAGGGCGCCAGACAACGGGCTGGGCGTCGCAGGCGCCGCCTGCGTGATCTTGCATGGCGGGCACGCTCTGGCACGGCAGTCGTGCCTGCGGAATGGAGAGATGGCGTCCTCTGCCGGTGGCCTTGAAGCCCTGCGTGGCATCATTCCAATTTGGAGCCCGGTACTTGCGCCGGTTCGGGATGCGGTCCTGGACACCCAGGTCGTCGTACTGCTCAGCCTCAACAGTGGCAGGAAATGTGCAGACGCTAGCGGGGGCAGTCTTGAACCAGACCCGAGCCAAGAAAGCCGCGCAGGGGAGCCATGGAGGGATGGAAAGAGGGAGGAGAAGGTATGTCCTACAGAAACCCAGGAACGCATTGAGAGGTGAACTCCAAAGAGTGGGATGGAGCGGGGGGACGACGACCTCCTGTGAGGGCAACTCCCTTGACCTTCAATCGGCATGGGCCTCACCATCCGTCAGGAAAACAGATCCGTCCCACCAGGAACTGGCACAATATCGGTTCGCATCGCTCGGCAGCCACATCGGGGCGCGGTCGGACCTAGGACAGAAGAACACCCCATCAAGAACACGAACCCTCCTCCGGCCAAAACACCCCAAACCATAAGATCACTCTAGGGTACCCTCCTCCAGGAGGCACACTAGCATCCCCGCAAACACGAAGAGCATTAGGGTGCCGTCCCCGATCCGACCTCGATCTGATGCCTCGGCCCGACCGTAATCTAGAGCCAGTCGCGCAGACATCCCCCCAACGGCACCCAAATCCGCGCTGCCGTGGCCCTCAGGGCTGCGAAAGGAAAAGCCCCCCCCGAAGAGGCAAGGCCCCTCCAGAGACACAGATTCGGGGATGGACAGAACCCCCTGTAGCAAAACGTGGTTCAGTGAAAACGACCTCGGGCCCAAACCTGGCGGGCGCGAGCCTGGAAAATGACGGCCGCGGCGCCCTCCCGAGAACCGAAAACAGACAATTCACTGATCGGCGTGTCAGGGTGGGGGTTCTGTCTACCCAAAACAAGTTCGGCGGTGGACAAACCTCCCTTTAGTAAACCTTCCTTTAGTGAAAACGGCCTAGGACCGAAACCGACGGACCTGAACCCGCAAAAATGAGGGCCGCGACGCCCTCTCGCAATCCAGAAACGGCCAATTCGCTAATCGACGTGTCAGGGTAGGAGGTCGATCAACCTCCGACGAGTACGGCCGGCCGAGCCTCCGCCAGCTGGGTATGGAGCCAGCGGGCGGCGCGGCGCTCTTCGGCCAGCTCCGCGGCGCAGCCGCGGCTCAAGGCGCTCCGGTGCTCCAGCTCCGCCTTGGCCTGGCGGGGGGGGGGCAGGCGGCGGCTTTGGGGATGCGGCAGGGAAGAGCTACATATGAGGAAAAGGGATGGAGGAGGAGGGAGGGAGGGAAGAGGAGGGGGAAGAGGAGAGGATTGAGGACGGAGGATGCGGGTGAGGCGGGACAGGAAGACGACGAGGAAGGAGGAGGAAGAAAGGGAGTATAGGGTGAGGAGGAGGGAGAGGGATTCGGAGGATAATCGAAGCAGGAAGATGAGAGAGTAAGAGGAGGAGGGTCAGAAGAAGAAGAAGAGTAAGAAGAAGAAGAAGAAGCAGAAGCAGAAGATAATGATGCAGCAAAATAGCGACAGGGAGGGGGAGGGGGAAGGGAAGACAAAAATGAGGAGGAGGAGCAGGAAAAGCCATGAAGAGGCGGGATGAACGGGGTGTCTGAAGATAAAGGAAGACACTGGGGAGGAAAAGGAGGTGAAGCAGCATGAAGTGCGCACCCTGCATAAACCCGAACGCGCAGGGGGAACCCCAGCTCACTCGTCGGCCTCGAAAGGGGATCTCCGAAGAGGAGGGCCGCAGAGGGGTGGCAATGACCTCCTGTGCAAACCCCATGGCCCTGCTCAGCCCCTGCGCCTCGTCGCCGTTGCCGTCGCCGTCGGAGGAGGCGGAGTCTACTCCACCTCCTCTGCCTCTTCCATCCCTCCCTCTCTCCTCCCCTCTCCCCCCTCCCTCTCTCCTCCTCCCTCCCTCTCTCCCCCCTCTTAACTTCCTCCTCCCCTCCCTCCCCCCCCTCTCTCTCTTCCCCCCTCCCCCCTCTCTCCTCCCCCCCTCTCCCCCCCTCCCCGCTCGGCGGGAGGTCGGCGCGGGCGGCGCGGAGCTCCAGCCCCGGGCAGGCCTCCGCCAGCCGGGCGCGCCCGTCCTGCAGCTCGGCCCTCGCCTCGCGGGGGCGGGGGCGGCCCTCGGCCAGGCGCCGCCCCCCCCCCCGGGGAGCCCCGGAGGAGGGCGGCGATTGCATCGGGAGCCGTGCGCCTGGTAGAGGACGACGAGGGCACGAAGGGGAAGGAAGAGAAGCAGGAGGAGGAGGAGGAGGAGGAGGAGCAGGAGGAGGAGCAGGAGGGGGAGGAGGAGCGCGGAGAGGAGGGGGAAGACGAGGAATGGGATGAGTGGATGAGGAACATGGTCAGGATAAAGGCACGCAACGCGGTTTCGGCTCGAATCACGCCGGGTCAAACATTACCCCCCCGCAAGCGAGCCGAATGACCGATTGTACCCACCAGATGTTGATTGAACGCCAGGGTTCTTCCGAGAACCTGTACCGCGGCGGGGGTAAGAAGAAATAGCTCTGCTTTGAAGTCGTGTCGGAAGATCGCATGGCGCGCTTCCGCGTGATCGAGGGACAGACCAAGCGAGAATCGGCCAGGGCTGGTCATGCCGCGCGTGCGGGACGAGGCGCGACACGACGGAGTTCAGCGTGCACCTGGAGGTGCTAAACGGCGTCAGCCAGACCGCCCTCTATGCCACGACGGACTCCCCCACACAGGGCATCAATACGCTGGGCGCCGAGACGCAGGTCGGCACCAGGCAGCACAAGCACCGCAAGGACCTCATAAGTTTATTTGACTAGGTGAAGCCTGCAGCGACTGGCTCTGTGCTTCCGCTGCCAACTCATATCTGCCAGGTGGCCACGTGGTCCAGCGATTCTTCTCCGAGTGAGGGCTGCATGGCTTTCGGTCCACATTTGCCTGCTGGGTGCTGGCGCATCGAAGGAGATGTGGATACGAGACCGCAGGTGGGGAAGCCACCCCTTTCTACAAATGGTCCGCGCTATGCTGCCAGTCGACGGCGTCGAACAATGCGACAGCGACGAGATGCAGACCCTCGCGCCTGAACACAAGTTGTCAACCCCCCATGCGCGTCCTTGTAGAAGCCGGATTGACCTCCAGCTCGCGCCCCTCAGTCGGCATGCAGGACCTCGTCGACCCTGCCGCCCAACTTGCTGACGGAGCGAGCGACGCACCCCCGTCAACGCAGCATCCACAGCGGGAACCATTGCAATACCTCAGGCATTCCCTGCGGGAGAGAGTGCTATACAGCAACCCCTTGCGGGAGAGAGTGCACGTCAGTGAGCCTCTAGAGAGCCATGAGCAGCGGTTACATCTGCAACGGGCGGCACAGGACCTCGAGCGGTGACAGGTTCCGCCTGCGCGATTGGAGCTGGAGTAGAGCCGCATCCTGTCGGACAGCGCGGAGGAAATGACTACCTACCAGACCACCCCAGCCCAACCCGAAGACCCGAATTTCGGGTTGGGGGGGTAAAAGGGTTCCACATGTGTTTTTCCGATGCTTCCCGACACCCCCCCACTGGAAATCGATGGTAAATCTGAGCCTTCGGGTTGGGTTGGGGTGGTTTGGTGGGTGGTGAGGAACAGGTACCAGGAGGCCCCGGGCTCACAGCGTCGCGACGGTAGGTGGCCCTAGGCCTGCGCAGTCGAAGCGTGGCCAATGGAACGCGGGTCGAGAACAGAAGCCCCTGCGCCGAGGGACCAGTGCCACATCGAGACTCCCCGAACGAAGAACGCTGCAAGGTGGGAAGCCCAAACACGAGGAACATCAGGGTGCCCCCATTCAAAGGCAGGTCTGTTCTTAGACCCTCGCGCCATCTGCAAGGTGATGATGCCCGATGTTTGTGTGTTTCGGGATGGCTAATTACGACGGAGCGTCGCCCAACGAAGCCGATTGCCGTTCGAAGGCGGCGCTGACGAGCTAGGGACCAGCGGCGGGGCGCGAGCCTAACGCGATGGGCGAAAACGTCTTGGGACTCGGGCCAGGTCTAGCCGAGACTGGGAGACGGAGCGAGCCCAGCGAAATGCTCGTGCAACGCACAGGAGATGATCAGACCGCTACCAAGTGACGACTGGAGAGAAGGCACAAGCCACATATAATCTGCTCGACGAACACACGGTGCAGGAAGTGAGAGAAACCGTCGAGGAGGTGAGCGAAGGAGATGCCGGATCTGCGCTCCCGAAGGCCACGATGAAGACGCCGACGCTGGGAGATCATGCGCCACCGCCCTCCTCGTCGCTGAACTCTGGCATGAACATTCTGGCAACTACCTCGTGCTCATCCTCCGACTCAGGGCCGGCGCGGTCGAACCTCGAGAAGCCGGTTCCGCCAGAGCCCGCGGACAGAGGAAGCGGACCTCCTCGTCGCTGAACTCTGGCATGAACATTCTGGCAATTATCTTGTGCTCATCCTCCGACTCGGGGCCGACGCGGTCGAGCTTCGAGCAGCCGGTTCCGCCGGAGCCCGCGGGCAGAGGGAGCGGACTCCGAGAGAGCCAGCCCGCCGACTCCGCAGAGAGTCGGAGCCGCTCGGCGGGAAGAGCCTGCGCCCAGTCTCCTCCTCGGTGCGGCCCTCAGGATGCCGAGAAAACACAGTCGAGACAGTGGCACTTCCCACCGTCCGACTCCGCAGATAGTCGGAGCCGCTCGGCGGGAAGAGCCTGCGCCTGGTCTCCTCCTCGGTGCGGCCCTCAGGATGCCGAGCAAGCACAGTCGAGACAGTGGCACTTCCCACCGTACCTGTAAACTCGCTCGGCAGCGTTGCCGGAAGGAGGCCCCGGGCTCGAGGAGCACGGAGAGCGACCACGTGAAGACGACGCACGACTGTGGGCCACCGCCGGTCGCGGGCTCTCTTCCAACGCCTGGACACGAGCCTCCACCATCGTAGTAAAACCAGACAACTGATCGGTCAGCTCATGCACCTGGCGAGAAGAGAGCCCAAAGAAATGCCACGCTCTTCTTCACCTGGTCCGAGACAACACGTGGAACAACTTGGCAAACGACCTTCGGAACCGCATCGCTACACCTCGTCTTGACATTCCTTTACCATGACAAGATACCGAATGGCTTGAATCTGGGCCTCGTGCGCGCCAGTGCGGCCACGCATCTCGGGGCTCCTCTCCACGGCCTCGCTGCCAGAACGAGGGCGGCCAAAAGCAGATGAAGCACATGGAGCCGCAGAAATAAAACAAGAAGAGGAAGAAGGAGCATCGCTCTCCTGCATCTGCAGAGCGCCCTGCACTTTCGCGGTAGACGAGCTCTGCGCCTCCGTTAGCTTGTGATACGACTCCAATGGACCATCATACTGAGCCTGAGCCGCCGTCAGCACCGCAAGAACTGAGAGCACCGCTCCCGACACTGGTGAAGTGAGCTGCTGTTGCGCACATCCCGAAGAATCCAGCTGGCGCGAGACGAACACAGGTGCGTCGTGGCGCATGCAAGGGGGCAACGCGACAACATGATCGAGAACTCCAGCGGGCGCCCGGCGCGCACGACAAGGCCATGCGCGGGGCACACGCTCGACCGCGGGCGCACCGGGAAGCCGGCGCGCAGCTCGGTCTCCAGAAACTCAAAAAGCTCGTCCTCCCACGGATCTGCGAAATGGCGGAGAAACTGATGTATCATGCCGGTATGTTGAAGGCTGCGGCGGACAGGACACGAAAGAATGCGCTGACACCCATGCACAGCACTGCGTAATCCCGAAGAGTGCTTGCCAGAGAATCCATGACGAGCCTCAGCGCCCTTGTGGCGACGCAAGATACTTGACCGCAAAACAAGTCGATACCGTCGTCGAAAGCCATCGTGCCAACCTGACTTGTCAGAAAAAAACATAGCAGAGATCTGTATACGGCTCAGAACATGCCGAGGCTCGCTTGAGCCGCAAGTCCAAAAATGCCGCCTCGCGCCACAATGGCTACGCACCTAGCCGAGCCTGAGAGGACGAAGGGAACAGGACTGAGGAGACAGATTAAGAGGGGGGGAGGAAGAGGGGGGCGGAGGAGGAGGAGGAGCAGGCGGAGGAGGCGACGACCATAGAGAAGGAGGAGGACGAGGAGGAGGGAAGAGGAGAGAGGAGTAGGGAGGAGGGAAGAAAGAAGCTGGGAGGAGGTAAAAAGGGCACGTCCTACATGACCTAGAAGTGCGAAGGGGGGGGACAACACTTTCCCATCTGACGCCAAATTAGATATCCTAAGAAAGGCGACGTGGCGGGGTGACGATGACCTCGCCTGAGGTCCCTGGGTCACCTGACCATTCCCTCTCCTTTTTCGTACTCGTGTCAGTATCGATAACCCATCGTCCTCATCCCTGCTCATACTTCCCATTATCCCTTATCCATATATCCCTCCCCTACCCTCTTCTCACCATGGCAGCCCCTCTGGCTTCCAATTGCGCAAAGCAAAACCCGTGCAAAAAAGGATTCCCGGTAAGCCAAGCCCGTGCAGAGCCCCGGGGCCGCGCGCAGAATCCTGCTGGCGAGCCAGGCTGCCAGAATCCGGCTTCCAGTCGGCCAGGCCTCCACGAGATGGCTGTGCTCTTCCAGCAGCTCCGACGCAAACATGTGGGTCTCGGCACCCCCAGCCACCAGCTCTGTCCTCGCCTCGCGAAGGCGGTTGCGGCTCTCGGTCAGCTGCGCCTCCTCCGCGATGAGTGCGAGTACGAGCACAAGCACAACCACGAGCAGGAGTGAGAGGAGTCAAGCTAGCCAGGTCGAACTAGTCGACGGGCCCCAGCCACTCCCACCCTCCCTCCCATAGTAAAACGTTAGAACCAATGCTGGCGCGATGGGAGATTGGAAACAAAGACCTCTGTGTAAGCTTCCCTGACACAAGAACCCACCCACCCACCCACCCACCCTCTTCGGGGGGGCACAAAGGTGGGGTAGGGACAAAGGTGGGGCTGGAGGGGGAAAACGGCCCCTGGAAGAAGGAAGCGCGTTAAAAGGGACCATCTGGCTGGGCCCGCTCCCCAGCCCCATCTTGGGATAACCCTCCCTCTACGAACCCGCCCTCTGGAACTGGACCCCCACCACAAGACATCCTGCTGCTCTCTTTTGGTTCGATGCGTGGGCCCCTGAGGTCCAGACCACTTCCCCGGGGCCGGCTTTGCGTCCTGCACCGCCTGCTGCCGCCCCCGAAGCCCGGCGAGGGCCCACAGAGGCCGAAAGCTGCCAAAATCCCGCCGCTGCAATTTTTGGGGGGCGTCGCCAGTGGTTCAGGGATGGGGTCCTGAGGGATGGGGTCCTAAGGATGAGGTGCCCCAAACAACGTAAATCCTCCCTTGGATCCCTTCCCTTCCTTAGGCCCCCATCCCTCAAAACCCCCTCTCTGAACCACCGACGTCGGATCTCTGGGCCCCCGAAAATGCCTCCCCTCCTCTCCAGAGCCGGGACACATCCCCCCTCGCCGGCGAGAACCGCCTCCTAAGCCCCCCTCCCTCGCCTCGCCGTCGACAATCGACGACGTCGACGGTCGCCACCGCCCCCGCCGAAGTCGTCGTCACCGTCGCCAGCACCGTCGGCGCCGCCGTCGTGGACGAGTCGATCGATCGGGCGTGCGGGCGGGACACGTCGACGCCGTTGTCGTGGGCGCGTCGGTCGGGCGTGCGGGCAGGGCACGTCCTCGTGATCGTCTTCCTCGTCGAGGTCGTCCTGGTCGTCGTCGTCGTCGTGGTCGTCGTCGTCGTCGTGGTCTTCGTCGCGGCCGTGGTCGTGGTCGTGGTCGTCGTCGTCGTCGTCACAGTCGTCGACGTCGTCGTCCTCGTCGTCGTCGTGGTCGTCGTGGTCGTCGCGGTCGTCGTGGTCGTCGTGGTCGTCGTGGTCGTGGTCGTGGTCGTGGTCGTGGTCGTCGTCGTCGTTGTTGCCGTCGTCGACGTCGTCGTCGTCCTCGTCATCCTCGTCGTCATCGTAGTCGTCGTGGTCGTCGTCGTCGTGGTGGTCGTCGTCGTGGTCGTGGTCGTGGTCGTGGTCGTGGTCGTGGTCGTGGTCGTGGTCGTCGTCGTTGTGATCGTCGTCGCCGTCGCCGTCGCTCTCGCCATCGCCGTCGCCCTCGCCGTCGTCCTCGCCGTCGTCGTCGTCGTCGCCGCCGACGTCATCGTCGTCGTGGTCGTTGTCGTCGTCGTCATCGTCATCGTCGTCGTTAGCGTCGTCGACGTCGTCGTTCGCGTCGTCGTCGTCCTCGTCGCTTGCCAGCGCCGGGGTAGGTCCCCGACTTCCTACCGGCGTACACAGAGGACGCTGTGGCGCGTTCCCACATGATGAACGGAAGGCGCT